ACGAATGGTGTTCATTGGTTATGAGCAGGGCTCAAAAGCCTATCGGATGTATGATCCGGTGTCACGGCGAGTTTATGTGTCACGCGACGTCGTCTTTGATGAGGCGGCAATGTGGCCATGGCGTGATCCGGAGGTCACTCAAACTGGAGGCGAGGAGGATTTCACTGTGGAGTTTTTTTCCACTCCGCTAGGTGGAAATCGTGTTCCTGACGTGGTTGTGGAACATGGAGGCGCACGGGAAACTGAAACCGCACCAAGTCCGCTGGCCACGCCCGACGCGGCGCCCGTGTGGTCTCCAGTGACATCAAGCTCACCTGCCGGTGTTGAGTTCTGTACACCACCATCTGATGCCAGTATTGAAAGCGATGGAGCTCCTCCCCGTTTTCGGACGGTGAACAATGTGCTGGCCACCACAACTCCGGTGCTCGATTTCGACTACGACGACGAGTGTCTCATAGCGGAGCAGGAGCCTTTCAGTTTCAAGGAAGCTGAGAAGGAGCAGTGCTGGATGAAGGCGATGGAAGAGGAGATGAGCTCCATTGAAGGTAACAATACTTGGTTCCTCTGTGACTTACCATCTGACCATAGGGCAATTGGTCTCAAATGGGTTTACAAGATCAAGAGAAGTGCCGAAGGTGAGATATTGAAGTACAAAGCAAGATTGGTGGCAAAGGGGTATGTTCAGCAACAAGGCATAGATTATGAAGAAGTATTTGCTCCAGTAGCAAGGATGGAAACTGTGAGGTTGCTGGTTGCTTTGGCAGCACATGAGGGTTGGCAAATACATCACATGGATGTGAAGTCAGCTTTCCTCAATGGTGAATTGGAGGAAGAGGTGTATGTAGTCCAACCACCTGGTTTTGTTGTTGAGCACAAGGAGAACAAAGTACTGAAGTTAAAAAAGGCCCTATATGGTTTAAAGCAGGCGCCAAGAGCTTGGTATGCAAAGCTGGATTCTACACTTGCAAATCTGGATTTTGTAAGAAGTGCAACAGAGAATGCAGTGTACACTAGAGGGGAAGGTAATGCCAGACTCATGGTGGGGGTATATGTTGATGATCTTATCATTACAGGAGCTTTGGGGACAGAAATAGCAAAATTCAAGGAGCAGATGAGAAGTATGTTTAGTATGAGTGATCTTGGATTACTGTCCTATTACCTGGGAATGGAGGTTAAACAGACTGAAGAAGGCATTACAATGTCCCAAGCTGGGTATGCAGGAAGAATTTTAGAGAAGGCTGGGATGCAAGGTTGCAATCCTTGTCAGGTTCCTATGGATGCTAGACTGAAGCTGAAAAAAGGAGTAGAAGATTGCATTGATGCAACACAGTTTAGAAGCATTATAGGAAGCCTGAGGTATTTGGTTAATACAAGGCCTGATCTATCCTACTCTGTTGGATATGTTAGTAGATACATGGAGAATCCAGGTGCTGAACATTGGGCTGCCATGAAACATATTTTGCGCTATGTGGCAGGAAGTCTGAATATTGGTCTCAAGTTCAGAAAGGGAGAAGAGAAATTTCCTCGGCTAGTTGGCTATAGTGATAGTGATATGGCTGGGGATGTGGATGATAGAAAGAGTACAACAGGGGTGTTGTTTAAGCTGGGAGAAAACTTAATCACATGGCAGTCTCAGAAGCAAAAAATAGTTGCATTATCATCTTGTGAAGCTGAGTATATTGCTGCTACAACTGCTGCCTGTCAGGGGATTTGGTTAGCACGTTTGCTGGGAGAACTGCAAATGAAGAAGCCCTGTTGTGCCATGTTAAAAGTTGACAACAAATCTGCAATCAATCTCTGCAAGAATCCTGTACTTCATGATAGAAGCAAACACATTGATACAAGATATCATTTCATCCGTGAGAGGGTTGAAAGAAAGGAGGTCGAAGTGGAGTACACAAGTTCAGCAGAACAACTTGCAGACATACTGACAAAGCCTCTTGGCAAGGTCCGATTTCTGGAGCTGAGGGGAAAGCTGGGTTTGTCTCCAGTGTGATGCGTCAAGATTAGGGGGAGAAATTGTTGGATATTTTGTAATCTTGAGCATTTTATATTTCTGTTTTGCATGAACGTAGTGGCTGGCTGAAGGTTGTTTTGGCCGGTCGGTAGAATAGCTATTTCCTTCTGCATGTTGTCAGTTTTGTTTAGCTGCCGAATGACCTGGTTTCAGATCGTGGGATGGCGCGGTCAGTAGCCGATCCGGGTTGCTCGTTCCGTTCAGTTGTGCATGTAACAAACTCCGTTTTGGTGGAGGAGAATATAGAGTGAAAACAGAAAAGCAGCAGAGGTTGCGCTGCACAAAAATTCTACTTTGTTCTTCAGTTCTTGACGTTTCCCGAACTTCTTGAGGTTACTATCGTTGTCCGGCAATTTTCAGAGTGAGCGAGTGTGAGCGATTTCAGAGTTTGCTCTTTCCGTTTTGCTGACAGCACTTAGGCCTTGTTTAGTTCCCAAAAATTTTCTAAAAACATCACATCGAATCTTTGAAAACATGCATGGAGCATTAAATATAGATAAAATAACTAATTGCACGGCTATGATGGAAATCGTGAGACGAATCTTTTGAGTCTAATTATTCCATGATTAGTCATAAGTGCTACAGTAACCCACGTGTGCTAATGACGGATTAATTAGGCTCAAAAGATTCGTCCCACGGTTTCCAGGCGAGTTATGAAATTAGTTTTTTTATTCGTGCCCGAAAACCTCTTCCGACATCCGGTCAAACATCCGATGTGACACCCAGAAATTTTCTTTTCGCAAACTAAACAAGGCCTTAAGGATACCCTTCTAAAGTTCTCTAATGCCACTGGGTTAAAAGCACAGTGATTACCCTGAATGTCGATCAGAACAAGGAGTTGATCTTGTCAGGACTGCTACAGTGCAAACTGGAAAAACTGTCGATAGCCTATCTCGGGCTTCCTCTTTATGTCCATAAGCTATCTTCAGCTGACCTGCAACCTCTGGTTTCCAAGTTAGATGGTTTCTTATCTGGATGGGAAGCCTCTCTTTTGTCGCAGGCAGAACATCTAGTACTGATAAACGCGATTCTTAGCAGTCTCCCAGTCTACGCGATGTCTGCATTCAGATTACCCCCAGAAACCATAGAGGAAATTGACAAACGAAGATGGGCTTTTCTCTAGACTGGAGACGATGTCTGCTCGGGAGCACAATGCCTGGTTGCCTAGGATTCAGTATGCAAGCCAAAGGCACAGGGAGGGCTCGAAATCAAAAACCTAAAAATTCAGAATGAAGCGCTCCTTCTTAAACGCCTATTCAGTATGTACAACTAGGGATGAAAACGGAGCGGATACGGACGGATAATGCTCATACTATATTCGTTTTCATATTTTTTTGCCGGATACGGAAACGAATACGGACTATCTCGAATACGAATAAGAACCGAATATGATCGGACACGAATACGGAAACAAATTTTTCTCGGAACACGAAAACCAATTCAACTTCTAATAGAAACAAATATCAACATATATAATTAGCTCATTTTATATAAAATGTAGTATAATTTATAAATACGATCCGAAAGGTATCCGTATCCGATCCGAAAGGTATCCATATTCATTTTTATCCGGAGCGGACGGAAACTATCCGCTCCGTTTTCATCCCTATGTACAACTCAAAGATCTCATGGACAAAATGGATCTGGAAAGAACACTCAGGGCCTGTTTGGGGAGCTTTAGATTCTGAGAAGCAGCTGTTTGGTAGCCAACTTCTAAGAATCTGGAAAAGCTCTGAAACCCAGCTCTCCAGCTTCTGGCTTCTTAGTTCATTTTTCAGAATATGTAACTACAGATTCTCAGAAGCTGTGGACTGTTTGGGGCAGCTTTTGGGAAAAGCTGCAGCTGGGACAAGCTCCCCCAAATAGGGCCTGAGATACTCCGCTTCTAACATCTTTTCGACTTGGGCCTCACTGGACCTCAATGTAGAAACTGCTGCCTGATCTACAAGCCCTAACTGAAGTCGACGTTGGAGATGGGTTGCGAACTTCCTTCTTGCATGATCGATGGATAACCAACGAGACTTTAGCGATTTAATTCGGGCCCCTTTACACCCATGCAACTAGTCGTCAAGTTTCGGTCAAAGATGCCTTTCAACGAGGAATAACAGAAGATTTTGTTCCAAGACTATCTGAAAACAGCTAGAGCGGAAATGCAGTGTCTGCAAGTTTTGCTACAGATCGAACTTCTCCCTGCGAGATGAGCCGGACATTCGACGAAGTGGAAAATTGGGCAAGCTAACGACGAAGAAAATATACTATGATGCAAGGTTATCCCCTGGCATATCGTCACCAAACTGGGGTTTAATCTAGCAGTGCAGAGCGCCGTTGAAAGTAAAGATGTTCGCTTGGGGATCGCCTTTCCACAAAAGGAAACCTGCTGAAGAAAAAGATAGTGCAAACGTCGATTTTGCACAGGGGGAAGATTAGAGTACAACCGCAAATTCAAGATGTGCAGCTCCTCCACCAACTGAAACCAGCTCACACAGTGCCAGCGCTTCACTATCAAGTAATCCCTATATTCTAAATTAATCTACATATATTTCATAGGTACATCAAGACCAAGAAAAACTAATAACTCTCTCATACTATATTTACTCTAGCAACAAACTCAATGCATGCACCATCCCCACTATTTTCTAGCCAATAGCAAATCAAGATATTGCATATGGGTTATAAATATTTGTGTGCATAGATGCATACATCAATGTCCATTTACTCCAATGCACAAATAACGAATAGACTTAATGAATGAACATAAATATGTAGATCATTTAGAAATAACCTCAAAAAAAACTATATGTAGATCAATTTGGAATGGAGGGAGTATTTTATCTGCTCTGTATGTGGGCGATCTGGAATCATCGTCATGATGTCATTTTCAAGAAATAAACCCCCTCGATTGGATCCTGCCTGCAACGTTGCATCCGCGAGGCAGCTCTCTGGGCAGAGAATCTTAAGATTGAAGACCGACATGTAGTCTCCGTTTGGAAAGAAATTTTCTCCTCCCCACTACAAACTCTAAATATGTTGTAATGAACTTTTCATCCTCTATGCAATGACAAAATTCAGGTGGGGAAGCTCTCCCCCCTGGTGATTTAGTCTAAACAAGTTTGATGGTAAATTCAACGGTGTAATAACACGACAATTTTGATCTCCTATCGCAGAGGCAGTAGGCAATTTCCCACCAACAACACAACACATGACATCTTCAGAGATTATTATTCATTTCCCACCAACAACACATGACATCTTCAGAGATTATTATTCTGGACAGACCGTCTTGCGGCAAAAGTTAGAAGACGTCAGGATTGAAGTGCCCGGGGATGGAGTTGTTCTGCTGAGCCTGCTTCAGATGCATCGTCAGCGCATAGTTGTTTATCTGCAGCATTTTTTACCCCAGTAGATTCTTCATCAGTATGTATGTTAGGCAGAAAAAGAAAGAAACTTGCAAAAGGAGATAGGATTGTGGTTGCCACCTCTAGGGTCCTCAGTTGCTCCTGGTACTGCACAACAAGTTGCTTCAAACTCTGAACCTCCTGGCTCCTCTCGTCGAACTCCTTTTGGCGCTCATGTTGAATGGCGACCGCTCGCTTGAGGACAGCGTTCTCTCGCAGCACGACGGTCAATTGCTCCTTAAGCATCATATTTTCCTGTACAGAAAGAAAAATATGAAAGTATTCAATGTTATTGTTACTCCTAAATCATGCATTGATGCATGTTTTCTACATGCCGAATTGCTGACCAAACACTACGATGTTTTTTACACCCTAGAGAAGATAGACACACGTGTACCTTTTGCAAGTTTTGTGCTGCATCAGCTCCTGTACGCTCCACGATTGACTTCTCCAAAACTTCTAAAGCTCTTGAGGCGCGAGCACGCGCATCGCCCATGTCAGATGCATTTGTCATCTCTCTGACAAATAGCTCAACCCATTCAGAACCATTATTACCTGTCTGGCAACTATCTGCAGCAGCTGGGTGTTCATTAGCTGTACTCACACCACCATTATTAACAATACCTGCCAAGATATGCAAAATAGTTGCTGTTGTCATATATACAGTATGCTACATTTGCACAAGGGAGTGAGATGCAACCGATTCATGTGTTGTGAGAGGAAACGATAGTTTAGAATTGGCTTGGGTTTTCCTTTCTCTTTCCTTGTAATCGTTCTGTAAATATTTTATTCTTTTAATAATATAGTTTAACATTGCTGGACAAAGCCTGGCAGTATTTTGGTAGAAAAAATACAAAGAACTTGGGTAGTATATAGCCAGAAAATGCAACGCGAGAACTTGACAGCTTGGGGACACACTGAGAAGGAATACACAACTATTCTAAATATGGTGAATACAAAAGAATGGAAGATAGAAGATATGTGGATGCAGTCATCAGAATTTATGTCTAGTTAATCATGCACACTCCATATAACATAATTGACTGAATCGTGTGCAGTGTCTTTAATTGAACAGCGCATTACGTTGCAGAATATAAACATAAGACAGACATCAAAGAAACTGTTGCAGAATATAAACATAAGAACAGACATCAAAGAAACCAGCAAGGCTAGAGATCTCTGAATAATATTGATAGACAATTTGAAAGAGTATATCATGACCCACATGGATCATTATGATAGATTGGTACTGCGGTGTCTAAAATTTAAGTGTGACAAAAGCAAGAAGTACTAGTGCATGAGAATTATATGCACAGATCCTAGAAATAAAAAGCTTTTGGTTAAAAGCTGAACCTTCAACAGACGGATAAACTGCTGTGGGGAGCCCATTTTCAGATTTGCAACCAGTAGCTGATAAGATAGCCTCTGTAGACTCCAAGCGCAGATTGTTTAAACTCTTTATTGCTGAATCCAAATCATCTCCAGAAGCATCAAGAGCTCCTTCGAGCAACTAAAATGAATTTTCAGAAACCATGATCAGTTAGTTATATGGCATAGAGATAATACTGTGCACAAATACCTGGCATTACTACAAAGGATAAACATTACGCAGAACTAACAAAGGATACACGCATGAATTTGCCCATGCAACAATCATTTGATATAGTGTAGAAGAATATAAACACAGCTGTTCAGTGCTCATCAACCTTGCCTAGTCTCTGCAGGCAGGAAACCACAACTTTCTCGAATGAGAGAGTGTAGCTTTGCAAAACTCCAAGAAACATTACATGTAGAGATGTAATCTCTAAGGTGTACTCATAGTCATCGGCATAGTGGTGCCCATCATCCAGTACTGGAAATGATAAGCATGTATAAATTGTGCCATCAATTGATTTGATGATACCTATAGGTGGAACTGGTATGTTTTCCTTATCTAAAAGGATCTGAACACTAAATCCATAGGTAAAGGGTGGTAAACAAACACATACAGGAAAGCAGTAGATTCAATGCTATCAAAGAAAACACCAATGCAAAAAGCATCTCCCAAAGCCTCCAAGTTCGCTCCTTTTTCCTCCCCAGACCGCAGGGCAGCACAAGCGTCACAAGATCATCCAACCAAAACGCCACAAGAGCCCTAATTCTGATTGGCATGCCCTTCGTCCTTACACCTCCACAAAGGAAGTGAAAATGCCCACTTTCTGATGAAAAGGATCCAGCTTGCAGCAATCCATACACCAGAACAACAAGTTCGACCCCCACAAAACAACCCGTGAAGACCAAATGGGATCACAAATCTAAGCCATAAAGAACACGCATTTTTTTTCCTCATCTTAGCCCGCCCAAATTAGTCACCGGTGATCACACGCAGACCAGGAAAATTTACCCATGAATCATCGTCGCCACACCTCAACATGCACGCACCCACCTCACCTCACCTCCCCCAAACACGGGATCCCAATAACAAACTGCTCAGTTTCCGCCTCAAAAAATGATACCAGTATCCATCTACCACATCCTCCTTCAAAATTCGACAAGAGGAGAAAAGAAAAGGACGGACCTGGGGATCCATGCCCGGGAACAAGGAGGAGAGGTGGTGGAGGTGGGCCTCCCGGCGGCGGTGAGGGGAGCGGCAGGACCTCTTGGCCGGATGGTGGTGGGAGTGAGGAGAGGGAGGGGACGGCGGGAGGAGGTCGTCGGCGAAGATGGCGGAGGACCTCTTGCCACAGACTACCGCAGACATGGTGCCCCTCGCCTCCTCCTCCTCCTCGTCCTCCTCGCGCTGCCGCTCGCCGCCGACGCCGTCCTACTCCCCGCCTCCGCCGCCCATCCCCTTCCTTCCCCCGCCGCCGATCCGCCGCCGCCGCCGCGTCCCCTCCTCTCGATGGGATTGGGTTGGGTTGGTGGGTGGGTTTGGGCTCGAGGCGGAGGCGGATCGCGGAGGCGGAGGCGGAGGCGGAGCTCGCGATCGTTTAACGACGGTAACTTGGACCGATCGCGCTGTCCCCCATTGATTACGTCGGCTTTTTTCCTTTTTTTTTTTCTTTCTTTTCTTTCTTTCTCTCTACTGATACTACTGTGATGAGGCGTGAACGCGCTACGCGCCCGGTGCCGACAGGTGGGCCCAGATGGAGTGCTACCTTTTTTGTTTTTTTTTTTGCGTGGGCCGGGTGGGCGCTTTTTCTTGCCGTCGTGGACTCGTGCCGCGGAGGGGCGATTCCCATCTTCCACGCGCTCCGGTTCGATGTGGGTGCCGTGTCAATGGTGAAAAGACCATGTGACTTGAACTAAATTACATTCACAACTCGTAATAAAGTTCTAAAAGTAAAAAAAAAAAAACTCGCATCTCCAGCAATGTGACCCTATAATAATTACATTCACAACTCGTGTAGTTCTTTAAGAAAAAAAGTTTCCCCGGCAATATAACTCCTATATAGGCTTTTTATTTTTACATGGGTTTGATACCGCGGTGAAAGGGATGAGGTGTCTCGGTATCAGCATGTCCTACAGAGAAAACGTTGTCTCGGGAAGAGACTAGGAGGTCCAAGAGACAAGCACAATAGGATAGTCTTAAAAGAGAAGATGAGAATAGGTAAGTGGAACCTGAAGATATGACATCACGAGAAAAACGGTGGTATGGTCAGCGAAGATTGCTCGGTATGACGACGATGTGGCCGAACGATGTCAACCGCCCCCACCACCGGCCAGTCAAGGCTGCATGTTGCAGTGGACAATAAAATTTGACACCAATAAACAGATCGGATTTGGACACTGAGAGGTAGATCTGCAAAGAGCGATTCTAACGAATCACACGTCGCGTGATGACTACGAAGCAATTTCGAGATGGTTCTATGTTAACAGGATAGCTTGAGTGGCATCGTAGGGTAGGGAGATGGAGGTGACGCTGGAGATAGGGAAGATCGGGTTAGGGTGGCGCACCCTCAGGGGAGAGGAAGAGGAAATGTTGAAAAAGGGGAAAATGAGGAAAGTGGCTAGGAAGGTTATAAATGTAATTGAGTCGCTAGCAAGTAGGACAAAAGTCTTTAACCGTAAATACATAGTTCTAGAGGTGTTTTCTCTATACGTTTAATTAAAGTATATTTAGTAGGTTTATTGCCGAAACCTAGAATAGAGATAAGACCGAGCGAATACAACACCTATCTAAACAATGCTAATGTTTGGATAAGCAGCAACGCTTAATAGCGAAAAAATAATGTGTAAATTTTATATACATATACTTTGAGCAACTTAAAAATTCAATTTCTAACGACGTACTGGTAAACTTAAGTGCAAACAATGGAGATCAAATCGTTCTGAATGATCTTGTAGTTATAGGCCTTAGAGCATCTCCAAGAGCCTAGCCAAATGGCTCTCTAAGTTAAAATTTGGCTAACTTACACAAAAAAAATCTACTCCAACAGACTAGCCAAATGCCTCTCCAAGCCATCCGGCTGTCTAAATTCCCCACCAGACTAGCTAAAGTTGGCCAGCCAAAACCGGCTAGCCATATGTGGGACCCACGCCTGTTTCCCCCTCTCTCTCTCTCCATGCAGCAGTGCGGCATGCACATGTGACGAGGGCGTCGTCACCTCGTCGTCGCCGCGGCCGGCCACCGTCGCCCCGTCGTCGCGCGGCCGGCCCCCGCCTCCCCGTCGTCGCCGCGGCCAGCCCCGCCGCCCCGTCGTCGCCACGGCTGGCCACCGCCGCCCCGTCGTCGCGCGGCCAGCACCGCCACCGCCACCGCCGAGCTCCGCCCTGAGCTCCGCTGCTGCCCCCCTCTAGATCCGCCGTCGAGGTCGTCGCGAGCCGCCGCCGCCGAGCTCCACCCCGAGCGACATCGAGGTCGTCGTCGCGAGCCGCCGGCGTCTTGCCTACTGCCTCCCCGCATCGCCACACCATCGCGCGCGGCCGCCCGCCTCCTCGCGTCGCCGCACCACCGCCGGCGAAGAGAGCGGCACCGGCGGGCGGAGCCCGAGCAGCGGCGGCGGATGGCGACGCAGCCCGAGCGGCGGTGGGGATGGGGATGGGGCGGCGGCGGCGGATGGGAGAGGGAAGTGGGGTTTGGAGAGAAGGGGAGAAAAATGAGGGAGAAGGAGGTGTCGAAGCTGACATGTGGGCCCAATTATCATAGACTCAGAATAGAGAGGATGAATAGAGAGGCTGTTGGAGTAAAATACAGTTTGATTTGCTAAATTAAATGGAGAGTTGGCTAAATAGACATTTAGAGAGTCAAATTTAGAGAGACCGTTGGAGATGCTCTTATTCGGAACTCGGAAGACCTACTACAGCGCAAACAACCAGCGGCTGCAGCTAGCCAATAGTAGCTACAACCTATAGATGTTGAAGCTAGCAAGTGTAGGGAGCAATAGTTTGTGTGCAGCCGAACGAATTGGTTGTCCAATGCAGCAAGACGGCTGTAAAATTTGGGCTACCGAACAAACCCATACTACGGAGTACATCCGTATTTTTCTTTTACTAGAAAAAAAAATACCGGTGCGTTGCAACAAATCATGAGATGCAGTCAGGAGTCCAACTTTTATCTCAAGTTAGTATGTGAGTTTTTTTAAAAGATTTTTTTATACGACTTAGTTTTATATTTCCTAAAACAAACGAACTTAAAATCCGAGTCAAATACTTATCTATATTTCTAAAAGCGAACGATCACATGGATGACGTACCAAAGTACCGGCAAAAACATTTTTAATTTTTATAATAGTAGAGATTCTATTATCTAAAAAAGAACATCTGGATAAAAAATTTCAGGATACGCCTTTTAATCTTGTCAAGAACATTTAATAAAGTAAAATAGAAAGCGACTTGAAAACTCTAACGAAAGACTGAAAGTGACATGGAAAATATTACACAGGTGGCGGCTACCATCTGTATAAAGGTACGCACGTAATGATCTAAACATCAGGCAGGGTCAGGTGTCCATGCCTGAGTAAATTACGCTCTTATTACCAGCTGTATGCAACATGAGAACTTTGAGAAGTTTTCAGTCTGGAAGAGGTGCAACTGCATGAGTAAGAAGTACTGATTTAACAGTTGAGCACTCTATGGGTGAAGAAGATTAATCCAGAGTTTAACTATAGTGTACAATGCTTTCCTGCTGGGAACTCACCATCTGAAACATCTGTACAAAGATACAACCATGCAGCTATCCATCAGCTCGGCAATTACAAATTGAAGTATGGTGCAAAAAAGGGGGACCCATGTTCTCTACCACTCCAGTTGCAAGCCTCCCCAAAACCATATGAGCCCTACCGTTCTCCCGCTAGGAGGCCAGGCTCAGAAGCCTCCTAAATATATTATCCTTGATCAATCTTTGTAAATAAGAGATACAACACCACCACATGCTTGATCTGCATGTAAGGAAGATTTTGATTTTTTTTTCTCCACTCCTGTTACTCCCACATTATAACAATACTCATCATATAACTTTGAGAAGGCCGCATAACTAGAAGAGCTAATTCACAAGAATATATACTGGTTTTTCTATCTGTCCAATAACCAATTAAGCACCGTCTTTTTTGGCACGGTTCCATCACTACCTTCTTTCTCCGTCTTCACAGCAGTATTTACAGCATTACGGATGAGAGAATTCAAGCGCAACCTCAGTTGTGCATTGTCAATAAGCAGATCAGATAACATTTTTGTTGTCTCTTCATCAGTAACATATGCATCTTCACTGCTCATGGTAACTGAGGATTTACCATCAGAATTATCACCATCATCAGAAGAGCCCTGTTCATCATCTCGTGACAGAAGTTGAGCCTGAGAGATTGAGAGAGGATCATTATAGAACACAGATTGTGAATGTAAATGTAACTAACAGATCCGCTTTCATGGGCACAAGGAAGTGAGAACTTCATGAAAACAGAAGCGTAACTTTGAATATTCAAAATCAATTTCTAAATGGACAGGTACATAACACTGAAAACAATGTCTTCTGTACCAAGATGACCATTACATTGGTCATTGGCAAGACTTCTTTTTTAGGTATAGTGGCGCCAGTATGTAATCTAAAGTAAATGCATCTATGACTGTAAAATAGGAAAAAAAGTTTGTGAAAATATAGATCATTTTACTCATTTTGTTAAATATAGTTTTACTGACTCTGAAATGATATCACTCTTCAGCTGGGAAGATGAAAACTGTTCCCCAGAGCTAACCAAAACTAACACCTAAACCTTGTTCCAATAGAATCAAGAATGCAGCTTTGAAGGCCCAACTAGGTGGCTCAAACTTCAAACATAAGCAGAGGCTGAGGAAACTACAAATCAATTTAGGCCAGGAGTTGTTCCAAATCTGACTCCAGATCCTTTGAAGAATCTAGTGTCAGGTAGTGTCTGATGTTTCCGTCGGAGTTTGAGCTCAACTTTCTAAGTGTGCCTTTCCCGTGAGAAGCTAGAAGGAGTTTGAATGACAATAACTAATCAAAAGATATTTAAAACATTACCTCAGCAACAAGCAAACGTATTCTATTGTCTGATGTCGTCACAAGATCTAAAGCATCAGGCAAAGATGATAAATCAATAGTCATAGTGTCTTGCTCATCTGCAACAAACTTGGCAGTACATTCCTGTAGACGCTCACGGAGCAGTCTGCATTCGTGAAGAATTTTTTCACGGGAGAACCTTGCACGTGTTGACCGCTGTTTCTCCCTGTTAACAATCCTCTGTAATATATAATAAATACAATTAGTAGCTAGAGAGAATGCCGATTGCAAGAAGTATAACTACCAGAAGCTTGAATTTAAGAAAACAAAAAATGGTAATAGGGATAGATTGGATCAAAGTTGTTGATAAATCAGCTGTTATGAGCGTTGATGCTTGAAGCACGGACAGTAATGCATATTGTAGAACAGAATATGGGAAGGGTTTACATACCTTCCAAGAATATCTATTGCCTAAATAATTATTAGTTTCAAAGCATGGGATTGGTTATTTTGTACCCTATCTATCAGTTAGGACTTAGGAAGGATCTGATTTAGCTGGAAAATTAAAGATGTTTTTTAAGGTACTTTTACACTGTCAAAATCAGAGTCATAAGAAAGTAATTTCAAACATGAATCCAATAATATCCTTTTCTTATGGTAAAACCTAAATATTATTGGATTAATAGTTCGTCAAAGCTCTTCAAAATTGGACAGTCAAAATACACCTTATATTCCTGAACGGAAGAGTAATGACCTTCTTGAGGGTCAAACTACTATTTACATGAAAAATACCCACGGGTGTGTATAGCAGCAGTCTTGAGTTATCCCTATAAAAGGTAAGGTTTCTGCCCAAACCCTAGCTAATCAAAGCCTCTAGCCGTGCCAGGACAAGCCCACACGACCTGAGAAGATCGCACTATCCTTGGTCTTATGATCAACCATATCATTAGTGTGCAAAGCAAAACAACAAAAGAACACCTCACCCCTTCATTCTCTCTCTCAATTTCTTTAGTTAAGTGGTGTACAAACAGGTAGCATTAAATTAATTCAATTGTCCTCCAAGAGTGATTATATATAGATAAAGAAATCGCTGTTGAATCTAGCTTGTGTAGATAGAAATCTTTATTCAGCCGGCCTTGACAAAAGGAATCACATAAAGAATAGATGGCTGTGCTGGTTATATAATAAAAAAGGGAAAAGGTCCATATGTTTGTTGATCAAAAGAAGACTGTTAAGCTCATCTTGTCAGATACCAAGTAGGCAAGTACAACAATTCATGATAATATTCCAAAAATGGACAACATGTTGCATGGGTGGTGGAGATGCAGAAATCAGGGTAATAAGTTAGAAGTGGAAAAGCAAACACTCAAGATGGCTTGCATGCTTTCAAAGGCTTACTCTTGTCTAATGACTTTTTTTTTTGTGGGGACTTGTCTAATGACTTTGACAAGCCACTTTCTCTTAGCTACAACCAAAATCTAGTTTGCAACTTGTAAAGGGTTATGCTCTCCTGGCTTTGAGCAATGAGAGGCCAGCCATAGCAACAATTTCACACAATTTATAGATACTATCATAGTTCTGCGAGAAAGAAAAGCTTTAAATTTACATTTATACCTCTAATTCAGTCTTCTCCTCATGATACTGATTCAGCACTTTCTTCATCTCTTTTTGGGAGTTCCGAAGAGATTTCACCTCTTTAACAAGAACTTTTATATCTGCTTTAGACTTTGCCTCGAATTCTCCAATATGTTGCTGCAAACTCTCAACTTCTTTTCGTTTAGTTTCTAGCTCTTCCAGTAACATTTCTTTTTCACCGCTAGCAGTTGTTTTCTCTGACTGCACACGAGTTTTCTCATTCTGCAATTAAGTAGAAAGAAATGTAAGAAAATACTTGTAAGATGGATAGTAAGAAACCAAGCCATGATGACAAAGAGGAGACAAAGAGGAAAACCAACTTGTTCAATCTTCAGGTTTGACTCCATTTCAGAGTACTTCCTGTAGAGCTCATCCTTATCCCATTGAAGTTGGGTAATTTTCTCTCTTTCGGTCAAAACAGCCTGATGTAGAATCTCTTTGTCTTTTTTCTTCGTAGCTTCCAACTCAACCTCCAAATCTTTGACCTGCACAGAATAGCAGAGAAGCACAAGAACAACGTACATCAATAAAGTATGAACAAAAAAACACAAATCAATTTATTTTAAACTCGTGACATATAAAACAAAGCATATCATGTGTTTAAGCATAATCCATAGGCATCACAAATGAATGTCAGGTAGAAAACGTAACCTTTGTCGCAAGATATTCTTTGACAGCCACTTCCTGATTTAGTCGTGCTATGAGATCCTCCATATCAGTTTTTGCTGTCACCTGTCTTCTGTCCATGCTGATCAAAAGTCTAGTCAACTTCGGCCTTTGATCAGCAGGAAGGATGATTTGTGCATCCATATCATATAAAAGCTGCATATCTAAACCTGTAAATTGTTCTGTTTGGCTATGTCCATCAATTCCACTTGGAAGATCCACAGGACCATCCCAAAGGGAACTACTAACTCCAGGAACCGATAATTCACTGCCCCTCAAAGAACTCAAATCACTTCCTATACTTTCAGCAGAGTCCTTCCTGGCATGGCCAGGGTTAGAATCGTGATCCTCTTCGGAAACCACTCCCTTATAAGTATCTATGGAACCATTCCTAACACCATGTTCCAAAAAGACATGGTTCTTTTTCCTGTGATTTGACATGCTACTAGCCCGCTCATTGGGCTGATCTAAGATAGACTCTCCCAGCATACCATTACCAGTTGCTCCTGTCGGACCGTTACCATGAGCAAAGGCTGAATTCATTTGACTGGACTCAGAGAGAACACCTGAACCATGTTCATCAGGACGCGGAGAAGAATCTGCACTACTTTTTGCTGAAGAACCCACTTCAGAAGGGCGCTGATTCCAATCTTGGTAATCTTTCATTCAGAAAAATAGCGTAATTAAACATTTGCTAAAAATGTTAAGAAATTTTAGTTAATAAATGGATCAATGCACAATCAGGAAAAAGTGTCTTCAATAGAATATGTCAAGCGGAACATACATGAGCGTGCAGCAGCTTCCAGCTCAAGAAAAGCAGCAACAGGTGCACTTCTCGACAACTCAATGTCAGAAAGTAGCTTTTGCATCCACTCCTCCAAAGCGTTCCTTCTCTGCAAACAAAACATTTCAAGAACCACCGGTCAAAAAGGCTAAGCACAACTGAATGTAGTATTTGACATCGAACAAAGCAAAAATTAATCAATATACATAACGGCTAACCTCTTCTAGAAGCACCCTGCTTGAATTTATTCTTGAAAAGGCATGCTTCGGTGGAGCAGGGGGGATTCCTTTTCTGGGAAATTCCTGCTTAAGCTGCAGTACGGGAGAATCTTAGAATGAAGAAATGATATTGGATTAGAGGTCGAATGGAAAGTAATAATCTTTTTTTCTCAGAATCATATCCAAGATGAGACTTCCAAAATGTCCACATTCATTATAGAAACCATAAAATTGCAAAAGGTGAAGTCCTCATTATGAAGTCACCAGCGGAAGATGCAAAAATCTGTAAAAACTAATTTGGCCCAGGTAAGCATACCGTATACACTAAGTCAAGATTTATAATAACAGTATGTTTTAAAGTATCTGAAGTCTGACTACCTGTGTGATGCAATGCACCAAAAATCCTAAGTTGCAACGGAAGTCACTGGAGAAGCAAGCAATTGTGCATTCAATGCACTAGCAAATGTAAGTCCAATTCAAAGGTTTGATTACATTTTCAAATTTAATGCCAGATAAATTAATCTGGCAGACCACTCAGGATACGATAGGGGATTATTCTTATTTAAAAATCACTGGAGGTTGTTCTTGAAAGGTATGTTCCAACTGAAAATGTTAGTGGGCTTCTAGCTCAGGAAAGAAGGTCGGTACAATTTAAAGACACTTGGCATGTGAAAGAAGAAAATAGCAAAGAGGTGTCTCAACTTACATCAGAAGATAACTTTAGAAAGTCACTAAACCTTCGAAGAACTCCGTGGCTAGAGCTGATGCCTTCTGGAGATTGTATACCAACATGTATCCTGTAAAACTGTCCTTTATGGGCATTAAAATGAGATCATAAACAGAACAGTATCAAAGTTCACAACAAACAGGAATTGCATGATATATGCAACAGAATTACATAAGTGTCTCTTGCCCGTCGATCACGACTAAACTAGTGAGCCAAAAGAGAGGTAAGATGCACCACAGTTACCAAAACACCAAAAAGTATATTTCTGCCAGTAGGTCACCCTGAATCATTAGCACAATACTTCCTATGGCATGTCATGTTGGCATACACCATTGTGGCATGGGCTGCACGTGAGTTAATGACTTCAGCCATGGCTATTGTGATTTGCACTTGTCCCCCATGAGTTTTGGCCTTACATAGTTCTCTCTCACCCCCAACTCAAACCCCCTGTGTACTGAGACAAGTGAGGCAGTTGTGCGGAGAGGGAGAATCACCTCTAGTGTACTGCACGTCAGCGATTGGTTATCACAACAAAATTTGCACCCCATACAGGGGTATGCCTCAACACGCCATGTTGTCATTAAGAGTCAGGACAGTGTGCTAACAACCAAAAGTGACCCTTTAGTGATCTAAAGAAAAGTACAGTTTTGTGAGTCCAGCAGCCTAATAAACTAGTTTGATAAGTATGGTGGAATATTGGAAAGTGACACGATTTACTCAAAATGAAAGAACAATAAAAAGGTAATACATTAGAAAGTTGGCATCCACTACCCAATATGAGATAGTTTTGAAAGAAGCTCAGTTCTTCGTTGATAAGTGCTGAACTTCTTTTGTCCTTTTTATTGGTCTAACAAGGTTTTCTCACTTGTAATCCACTCCAAGCACATTTATGTTGTAGCATAGCGGTAATACCAGAGACACAACATTTCCAATCTGTACGTCAATCCAAATTGACTGACAAAAATAACGTGATGATAATATAAGCAGTACTCACAACTATGGATTTCAAGAAGTTGTCAGCAGTCGCACTAGCTTCAGGTGTCTGAGCGATCCAAGAAGGAATCATCACACAGTAACTCCATCCGGTTTGAGGGTTATGTGGCCATATGGTGTTCCTTCCCTCCTGCAGATCAATAAGCATAAGCCGTAAGAAGCATCAAGCAATGGAACTTTTCATGGTATCCTATTGATATGGCATCATCTTTCCAGCGAAACCTAGATTGAGAAGTTATGTGGTCTTCATGGAAGTACATTTTCTTTAATACAAGGAAACATCTTCAAGGAACTTTCCCAGTTGTTTGAAAATTACTGAATTTTGTTAACGAGGCATGTGATTTACTTGACGGTGAAAAAGAATTGACTAGGACTAGTAGGTTAATCTTCATTTGCGTTCTAGGATCATTTCATGTTAAATGTGGTAAAGATGTTGGGAAACACACCAAGTGCAAAGAATGAGGCTAGCACAAGGCAGGCAGGTCAAACAAAAGAGCTAATCTTCACAATGGGAACAATGATGAATAATAAAATCACCATCAGCCTGCTCAAATATGTATACGAAATCAATTATTGTACTTATGGCCTTATGCGTAACAGTATGAACATGCCTAATTGCCTAATATAGAAATCCAAAGCCCTTATGTCCGATGGACTCAGACAAAACCAGAGTCTTTGAAATAAGCAGCACATATACAACCAAATCAATCCGCATATCATGAAGCTGAACTGCACTCGGTTTGTCTAAACCCATCCCCGCAGAAGTAGTCCTACCTGAAACCCATACTCGACTCCTTGCAAAAGAAACAGGAATTCAAAACCCTATCCAGGGGAAAGCTCTAAAACAACTCTGAATCAGTAGCAACGCAGGCACTCCAAACCAACAAATCCCAATGCAGATCCCAACCCACACATGAATTCCTAGCCTTACATTCCACTACTATTACACACCACATAGCCGCGGGCAAATCCAGCTCGCGATATCGTTACGATCGAGAGGACAAGCATTAAAAGAAAGAAAGAAAGAAAGAAAATCCCCGACACCTCGCAACTAACGCCGAATCTGACGCACGCAGCAGCAACGCCACAGGATCGCAAGCTCCCAACTCCAACTCCCGAACCGCACGTCCCTCACAGATCAAAGCAGGGAGCCAACCCAACCGAACCCCCGATCAATCGAGCCCGGATCGAAATTAGCGGGGGGGAGGGGGGGGGGGGATCGCGCTTACCCATCTCTTCGGGGGCGGGCTCCAGTCCATGCCGAACGGCAGCCCGGAGGTGCCGTCGTGGCGGTGCTTCGGCGGGCTCGGCGCCTTCTTCCTCGCCGACGAAAACGACGACGGCGTCGCCATCGCCGCCCGCTTCGGCGGTGGATCGAGCGGGCGGAAGGGTGGGGTGAGGTGGGAGGGAGGAATCGATGCGGGGGTTTGGAGGCGTCGCGCCGACGATTCCGAGGTGGACGGAGTGGAGGAAGGGGAGGGGGAGTAAGAGGGCGGCGGAGATGAGGCGGACGCGGACGCGGACGGGGAGGGAGGGGCTCTCCTCCCGCGGTGGCGTCTAACCGTCAACGCGCGGCGGTGGCAGCCAAGCGAGGGCGTCGGTCCGGTCCGGTCCGGGTCTAGGCTTTTCCACCGCCGTGTGGGGTGGTGGAGTTGGTGGTGGGCCGGCGGGGAGTTGTGTGGGTTTTTCGCAAGCCCACACAAGTGTAATTGTTGGATGTGGCCATGGCTGCCGACAGATAATGGTATGCACTTCTTAGTGACGAACTGGTTCAGTACATACTACTAGGCTGTGTTTAGTTCCACACTAAAATTGAAAGTTCAAAGAAATTGAAACGATGTGACGGAAGAGTTAGAAGTTTATGTGTGTACGAAAGTTCAATGTGACGGAAAAGTTAGAAGGCCGAGTTTAGTTCCAAATTTTTTCTTCAAACTTTCAACTTTTCCATCACATCAATTTTTTCTACACATATAAACTTCTAATTTTTTCTACACATATAAACTTCCAACTTTTCCGTCACATTGTTCCAATTTCAACCAAACTTTTAATTTTAACGTGAACTAAACACACACGAAGTTTGAAGAAAAAAGTTAGAATCTAAACAATATCTAAGTAGAAAAAATTATGGGGTTCAATACATCTATAGTTGGAGGAAACAATGACCAAACACATATTTGAGATTGTATTGATGCTCGAAACAATAACAAAAAAAACATGTATATCTCTATCTCTTCTCTACTATTATAAAAATTAGAGTTGTTTTTGCAAAAATTTTGGTACGTTTTGAGTCGGTTTTAAGTTCGTTGTGTTTGAGTTGGATTTTAAGCTCGTTTGATTTTGAAAATACAAAAGGAGTCGTATAAGAAATCTCTTTAAAAAAACTCGCATACTAACTTGAGATGAAATACGGATCCAAGCGAGTTCCCACAAACCATATATAATATTATTATTATTATTATTAAAATAGCACTTACCCGTTGCAATGCAACGCATGGGTATTTTTTGTAGTTTGAGTAAAAAATAACGAAGGAAGCACTAACAGGGTTTGCAATACTAGGGTTTACAGTACTGAACGAAAATCGCTCCATTTCCATGAAATCATTGGAGACCAATTTGTGAAAAACAAGCAGTTTTAGTTAGTTGTATAGAATTGACCAAAAGTCGTCCTCGGTTTTTACCAATTTTTGTAAAGCAGCCAAGACCATTGAACTCTGAGCACTACAAGCTATGAACTGTAGTTAGTACTGTAACTTAAAATCTGAGTCGCAACGACTCGCACTCAGAATAGACTTCACATCGTCGGCTCCATACTCGACAAAGCACTAACATCCATTTCAGAAAAAGTGTTGCCAAGATATAGAAACGGTGAACGAACAAATGCCTGAGAAGGGTGAGTATGAGTAGCTCATTGCACCACGATACGCGTATTCTTAGCTAATTAACCAGTAGCCGGCTTACTGATCAGTATAATCGTCATCATCAAGGCCAAGGACTGCCAAGAAGTGCACATCTCATGCAACAAATAGAAGTCCTTTCATTCATAGGAAGCGTAGAAAAGTAAGAAAACAACAGTTTCTTCTACGGGTGAATGAACATCTTTGATATTACAAGGTTCCCTCGGAATCCACATACAACACGGATAGTAATGCTGAGAGACCAGGAACAGCAGGCATCAGAAATGGTTCCAAGAACTCTTCGCAATGATAAATTTAGTCCATCCTGCCCTTGATCACACACTCTTTTACTTCGGTTGGTGTCCTGAAAACCCAAAAGAAGATTATGTAAAAGAAACGTATTGATGCTCAAATGAAGTGCTGAAACAACTAAAATGCGGAATGCGGTAGGACTTTGAGCTCCAATTATATTTGATTGGGAAAAAAATCATTACTGATGAACTTCTACCAATTTATTGCAGAACGGTAGATAAAATAATGGTGCATAACGTATTTTAATTCAAAAGCTGTTTAACAGAAGAAAAATGAAGCCACTCATCCAATCTTGAATTAGTGAAGTGAACTTACACAAGCAGAACAAAGCCTCCCCAACCACTGAGGCAATCACGATCAACTGATGACTGCAGAGCTTGTGAGATAGTCTCAAAGAGTTCTTCAGGTTCCTTTGTCAAGAAAAATAATATGTTGTCATGTAACATCTATCATTCAAAATAGTGGTAGAAATCTAAACAGTACAATGCAACAGAATTATAATATATTATACAGATCCAAACAGAAATGCGAAATTGCTATAGCCCATGATGTTATCCCATAAAGAATGTTACACGGGCTAAATGTGATCATACAAACAAACAAATGCATACCATGTTTGGTTTGTACATGGACTCACAAGCACCATATAGAGACTCCGATGCTGTCCCCGATACAACGAAATCCTTAGCTAGTTCCCTGCACAGAAATAAACATCCTCAATCAGCTCACAAGAATATGAGAAACAAGCGTTCAAACGCCTAATCAGACATATCAGGCACACGGACTTAGACCAAAAACTTAAACAGGTGGCATGCTATTGGAATAATAGTATCAAAGTTGTTTCAGTACATGATGAAGCAGATAGAAAAAATATATCAAATTCAGAAAGGAACAAAAAAGGAATCAAGCAAATCTCTGATAGAGCAAGTTACCAATGTCAAGCATGCACACATTTCTCTGGGACAGAGACGGAGCCAATCGTGTTTGGGTGTCATGGAATTCAGGATAGAAACAAGAATGGTGAACCCATAAATCACGTTGTTCATTCACATGGGGTCTTTTGTTAATGATGATTTAGAAATTTGGGAGGTAACCTTTGTTAGATATGACAAACATATTTATAAATTAAAGATGTAGATAACTCCCCACCTAACCATCTAAATGTGGAATAAGACTAAGGCGGGCATATTAATCAATGCAGTAAATTGCAGAACATGAGCAATGGATAACCATCCAGATGTGTATGAATAGATCCAAAAGAAATTAATTTGAATAAAAACAAAAACACAATTGAACTGATACATACTTTGCACCAATGCAGTCCATGGTACAAATAAATGGCTCATTGTCCTCTCCAAGTCCAGCGATAACAGGCTGGCAGAAGTATGGTCCAAATCTGAATTTTCCATGTATCGAAAAAAGTTAGATAAACTTACCCCTAACCCAATAATTGTATAATACAAAATGAAGAAAGCTGTTTACTAATAGCACAGAGAAATCACAAGTCTTAGCATGCAAACTTTACTTACTACTATGCCAATCATAAAAAGGCTATTGTATTGTTAAAATGTTGAGAGGCTAATGATTATCAATCAGGAATTTCAGCTCATATTTCCCAACTGCCCAGAAGTTATCTGTCAACCTGATTGATGTTGAGCTAATTTCTAGCTTCCACATCATCATAAAAAAAAATCAAGCATTTGCCTATAAATATTTATCAGGGTAAACCAATAACCGACATAAATCTCGATTCTGGTGCTGCCCTTGGTGCTAGGCTCTGGCAACAGGCTGGTGCCAAGTGCCTAACCAAGTGGGTTAAGCGCCTAAGTGGCAGCCTAGGTGAACAGCTATAACACAGAGCACCTATTTCGGCTTGGTGGTTGTCAAGCGGAACACTACTCATATGAGTCTGTTAAGTGCATATGAGTTACTCTTTTGGTGCAAACAGGGGAAAATCTAAAAGGTTCAAAGCATATCCATCAATCCATGTAGAGCTTACTACATCAACTAAATCGAGAGTTTACTCTTTATGTGCCATTTGAGCAATCAGCAAGCTAGCAACCCTGCCTACAAACAATTATCAAACCAACGGCGGCAGCCATGGCTACAACCACAACATTATGGCTTTAGCTTCTTAGTATGCTCATCGTGCAATATGGTTATACAAGACTTAAATGTCTAAGCATAACTTGGGTGGTTGTAATGTGTTTTCTGTCTGTCACAAGTAGAGCACACATATCCTTTGAAACATAAACCTGCTGCCTTTAACAATTGTACCTTCACATAGTCAAGTTATTGTGCAACAAGAACAAATCTAACTACTTGACAGGCGCTTTGTAACACTATAAACAGTCAGCATATCTACAAAATTCTGCATCTTTCCGCGAAATTGAATACTCCAATTGGCATTTGAATTTAACTCTGCTTCATATACTACTCAATTCAACTCGCGCTGCGCTAGCAACATCCTTTAGTTCATTACCTCTTCTCGTAGAGGAGAGCGGAGACGAGGCTGGCGAAGGTCTGGGGCTTCATGTCCCTCTCCTCCCGCAGTTGATACAGCTTGTGCCTGAACACCAGGCGCTGGTACCTGCACCACCGACCGACCGAAACCCTAATTCTCCCAAACCGGATGCTAAACCAAAAAAGCACAAAGAGGAGGGGACAAATCTGGCGCGGCGACTCACAGCGTCTGCGCGTCGGTGGCGAGGCCGGAGAGGCCGATGTAGAGCTTGTCGTGGATCTTGAACACCCTCTGGAAGTCCGTCGCGACGGTCTGCAGCTGCACCCCGAGCCGCCGGTCGCTGGCGATCGCGAAGCAGTTCTTCCCCACCATCGCCACCACGGCGGAACCATTGTACTCGAAGATCTGCGAGGCATGGGAGAATTAAGATCCGTGGGGCGGGCGGCCCGGCCGGCCAGGGAGCGGGGCGGCGGGGGGCACTCACCGACATGGCCGGCGCGGCGGCGAGTTCGCGGCGGAGGCGGAGGCGGAGGCGGAGGCGGATGCGGATGCAGGCGTCGAGGTTCGAAGTCGAGGAGGAGAATCGGAGGAGGAGGAGCTCACGCAGTGGGCTTTTGAGGCCCAACTTGGGCTTCTTGCTGAGCAAGAAGGTCCGGCACAGGGACGCCACTGGTCGTTGAATACAACTCTAACCACGAAATTCAATAAAATTTGTTAGAATTCGATTTTTAAATATATTTTTTAAACACTTAACCAGTTTGTACGTGGTTTCGAGACCTGTAATGGTGTGTTTAGTTCACGCCAAAATTGAAAATTTGATTGAAATTGAAACGATGTGACAGAAAAGTTGAAAGTTTGAAGAAAAAGTTGGGAACTAAACCATAAATCAGACCTAACTCCTAAGGCAGCATTTA